ATTACTTAGAATTCTTAAGTTTCTTTAATTTAATAACTATATATTTAAAAAATAAGAAATAAATATAATTATATATATTAGAATAAAGAAATTCTTCTTATTTAAAAATTATAATTATAGTATTACTAAATATAGAAATATAAAAGTTTATATAATAAGCTATATATAGAAATTTAAAAAGATTTAAATTATCTCGAATTATTTATAATTAGTAAAATAAATTAGCTAATTATATAAATCAAATATAATTTAATTATTATTAGTATATCTTAGCTTTTATAAATTAGTAAAAAAAAGAATATTTATATCTTTATTTTTATAACTATAATATCTAAAATTATAATTTTTTTAATATTTAAATATATTTAATCTAAGGTTATTAAATACTAATATTTCTATTTTCAGGTATTATTTATTATAAATTTATTTGGATTTAAATAATTATATTAAATATATATTTTTATATCCTAAAAATAAATAATAAAAATATAGCTATACTAGCTTTAATCTTAGCCTTAATCTTAATCTTAACTTCCTTCTAAAAATAACTTTAATTCTAATATATAATATTATTATTAAAGTTTTCTTTTATTAAAAATATATTAAATATAGCTTTAGGTAATAGCTCTAGTAAAGGCAAAAGTAATAGAAAAAGTAATAAAGCTATAAATAAGCAGAAAAATAATATTTATAATATATTTTCTAATAATCTAGACTTAGTTTATAATATTCTCTCTTATTAATATATTTAACTAATAAATCTCTTTATTTCTTAATCTTCTTCTTATATATAATTTCCTTTTCCTTCTTTATAATAATACTTTAATCTCCTTATATTACCTAATAATATTATTAAAGTAGTAAAGCAAATTAATAATAAGACTAAAGTTAGAGAAATAAAGCTATACTAGAATAGAAAGCTAAAGAAATTAGAGAAAGGCAAGGCAAATCTAGAAATAAGCTTAGTATATATTTATAGAACCGAATTCTCTTAAGCTTATATTACTTATAGTAATAAAAAGAGACTAAGGGGCTCTTTTAAATACTATATAGTTATAGAAGGCAAATTTAATAGTACTTATATAAATTATAGATATAATAATAATAGTAAAGTTTATACTTTCTATTAATTTAATACTAATCCTATTAAGTCTAGAAAGTCTCGCTCTATATTTATAAAATCCTTTATACTAAAGTCTTAACTATTTATAAGATATAGAAAGCGAGTATAAAGATAGATATAAGATTAGAAGGTAATAGGAAAGAAAATTATAGTAGAGGAGGATAAGGATACTAGAGGAGAAGAAGATAAAGGAGATATAGATAATTCGAGTAATATAGACAGTATAGAGAATATAGAGAGTAAGAGAGATAGAGATATGCCTTGTAATTCATGGGATTTGCCTTACGGACTACGCAAGCTAAGAGGGGGTTAGAAGTAGTCGAGAATAAGGCGTATATGCTATACTTTTTTTTTTTAGTGAGGTGTGGTAGATGCGAAAATCAGAAAATCAGAAAATCACTTTTCGCTTCTCGGATTTGTCCGCTAGCCCGCTAATGGCCTCAGTAGGCGACGGAACTCTTGGTACCTCCAGTTCAGACCTTTGGGGTCCTTATGTACGCTAATTACAGCGCGGTTACCGCACCAGAAACCCCAGCCCTCCGACACTCGATCGTCTGCGGCCCGGTCCGTGCTATACTCCACCCAGCTCTTGGCATTTCAGGCCCCTTCGTGGTGTCTGACGCCTCTGCATGGCAGCCTTGATTACAGGAAGCTGTCAGCCCGGATGGGTTCGAACTTGGAGGAAGATCCCTTTCGATGGACTAATTTTGCAGTGCAGAATAAGCGTGACTATGCTGATTTGCGGACTTGCAGCCAAGCCTGAGAGTCTTGGCGAGGCTGTATGCTCCCTGAAAGTATTCTGCACGCTTCTTGGCTGATGTTTTAATGAATGATTCTGGGATGTCCTCCTACATATCAGCAAGAATAAGCAGATCCAAAATCGATCTTCCTGCTACCTTTACCTCAACCCCTTTCGTGATATATGTTATTGTTTTTGGCTTCAATTCTTCCCCATCCAACATGGGATCGAACCCCCAGACTTGTATAGGAACTATATCTACTTTACGCATGCGAATGGCGTTTGGACCGTTGATTCTCAGAACGTTATATTTCTTCTTGCTCTTGTTTCTAATTAGCTTGATTGTACAACCAGTCAATTGAGGCTAGGTACCTCGAGGCCTAGCGCGCCAAGGAGTCGTTTCGCAGCAGCAGGCGTGGCACTATCTGCACAATTTTCCGAATTCTCCATCTTCGCGGGTTCAAATCTAACCTTTTGAAGCCATTTCCCTAACTCCTGCAAAGTTTTTATCAATTTCTTCTATATCCTCCAAGCTTTTCTGGGAAGGTTTATTCGAATCTGCCATGGGAACGAGTATCTGTCGGGTCTCTTGGAGATGCGTCGGACAATCGGAGAAGGGGAAATGAGAGTTGAAAGGGGTTAAATTGCCATCCAACTATACTAGGAGTCCTGCGGCAGAGCAGTCACAATCTATATACTCGCGTTAGCTGTCTTCACCAATACGAGTGATGTTGCGGCGGCTTTTGACTTACGGTACTTCATTTCCCTGGTCGCTTCCCCTCTATGACGATTAGGTCCAACCGAGCTCAGCAGTGCGTCGACTTTTGCAAATTTCCTACTGCCCCATTCCTCGGGCACCAAGCAGCTAAACAACGCAGGGTTTACTTTCGCGTGGCTGCTCCGGGACGGAAAACCCAAAGTTACACTACCAAATCCCACTGTGAAATTTGCTAGTCAGGTGACAAGCATGAAAATCCAGATAGGGAAGACAGAAAGCCCTGGTCAAGATCATTTGCTGGAGGAAACCAATATTGCGCAAAGGCATGCACCCAATGTGGGTACTCTTGACTTTAGTAAAGTTCTTTGCTAAAAATATGAGCGTAGGAGAATTTGCTGCAAGTGTCTAATGATTTGTAGAAGTTGCCCAACAATTGCAAAGTCCCGCATAAGCGAGGTTATCTCAGGGCTTGGTACAGTAGTCAGCCCCGTCGCGCAAGCTAAAATTGCAGTGATATTCCAGAGACCGCGGTTGCCGTCTCCACTCTTACGGAGGCACCAGTGCAGCAGTGCAACCCTCCCGTCGTGGAAGAGCCACGCCTTATCTCCTCCTCAATAACGCTAAAATTGCAGTGCTTTCCAAGTGGTAGGGGCAGCGAGGCATGGGTGTTCCGCGCTGGCACAGCCGAAAGCCAAACAATACAACCTTTTAATTGGCTTTAACCCCTAGTCTGTGGCTGTCTCGCTACATTATTTTGCCCTGCTGCGGTGTAGGCAGATATCAGGCAGCACAGCTCAGGCTGACAGCCAGCCTGGGACAAAACATGAGGCGAACGAGATGAGAAGTAAATTGGGCGATTCTTGCACATCCTGATAGGTTTCAAGACAGATTTTTTCTTCTTTCTGGTTGCATTTGAGAGCTGTTTGCGTTAATTGCTTCTCAATGTGCGCCTAATCAATTTGGAACTGAGGGGAAGAGAACCGCCTCTACGACGCTAAAATTGCAGTGCAGGAGGGCCACCCTGGTCAACCGGCCACTTGAAATAATCATTTTATAATTTAACTACGTAATATTTTTGGCTAAAACTAAAGATATATAAATAAGTTAGATTAATAGATCTAATAAAATGTATATTATAGCAAAAAGAAGTTCACTATTATAATGTAAACTACGAAATATAGCTTTTTGAGATTTTTTGGTGTTCCTCGCTAAATTTTTAGCATAGCAGGTCGCCTGTAAATTCAGGCTTTAAACCTGATTTTAATCACTAATTTTGATAATAAAAAAATGCGACGAATAAACTTACAAAAACAGTTTAAATTGCTATATGGATTGTTAATATACTAAAGATTGATCTAACAAACTTGCATGCTAAAATAATTAGTGACGAGGTTGATTTGTGGGTGGCCGGTTGACCAGGATGGCCAGTTGACCAGGGAACCCTTCTATGTCAAGGTGTTGCGCCTTGGGAAAAAAGAAAGGAATCCGGGAAACAGTGGCATATTCCCCAGGCACTCTTCTTGGCTGATGTCACATTGTAAACTTTCTCACTTCCATTCTAATTGAGATCACGGTTCTAAGCAAGCGAACAGAAACTGGAGTTAGAAGAATTTGCGGTGAGTGCGCTGAGTAGCAGAATCGAGAATACTGTGCGGAACTCAATTTGAGGTTCCAGATTTACCTTCCACATCGTCGTGCACGGGTTCCAACTTGCCTGGGCAAAGTTCAGAACAGTGGACAACGCATTGAGCTGGCAAGTCAGCGAGCGTATCACGTTCGTAGGTGAGAATCACAAGCTAAAATCGCGGTGCAAACTCAAGATGTACAGATGTGCAACAAAGGGCTGCAGTTGACCAATTATGCAAAAGAGGCTCGCCCGACTCAGGAGAAGGGGCCAGCGCAACAATGAACCTGTCGACCAATTGTGTCGAAGAGGCTCGTGCGAGTCGGGAGAAAGGGGCTACCCACTCCCTTCCTCACTGTTTCCCGCACGTCGAGTACTTTCTCACCGCCTCCTTCTCGATTTAGACTGCAACTGTCTTTAGGTGACTTTCCGTTGTAAGGTCGTCTTCAGAGGGTTTGTCTGGCCCGAAAGTGGATAGAAGCACGTATGAACCTACGAACCTACGAGGATCTGAGTGGGTAGGAGTTTTTCACGAAGATTTTGTGACCTTTAGTGGATTACTTTCCCTGCATTGATAGCGATAGCTGAATTCTAAAGAGCCTCTTCTAAGGGGTGGGATTTGAAAGACTGGAACTGCCCTGCCGTGCGCTAAAATTGCAGTGCGGGACCCGTGGGGTGGGGTTCCTCGTCGGGCGCGCTAAGAACGTAGTGCTCCTTCAGCTTGCTGACCCTCCTTTCCCCCCACCCCGACTGCAGTGCAAGACTTTGCACAGCCCGGGTGGCGAAACGGCAAGGCTTTCTCACCAGCCTTGTCGGCAATCAATCTGCAAAATTCAGGAAGGCACCGAATACTCCCACGTGCCTTTTCTCTTCTATCTATTTTGGTGTCAATTATTCTCTGTACAGATTTCTGGGTTTATCCCGTCCTCAATCGTGTAGTCGTGTCAGCACTCATATCTTGGATGTTGTGAGCGCCTTCCACAGACCAGCTGAAGTATTTAATGGCCGAAGATGAGCGCTTTAGGGGATCAATTCGAGAGCATTCTCGCGACCTTCAAATCAAAACTCAATGCGAAAGAGCGAGAGGACTTCCAGTTCGTGACGCTCAATGATGTGCGAGAAACCGCGCTGCAGATTCAGAAAGATCACGAGAACCTGAGGACGATGATGAATATGTCTCGCCTGCAATCGTTTCTTGAAGCAATGAATCAATTCGGGGAAGTTCTAGGTGTCTTTGCGAACGCCAATATCTTTGTTGCTTTCGTCTGGGGCCCAATGAAGTTCATCCTACAGGTAATGAAAGGAGTTACATTTTCCCTCTGAACTTCCTTCTAATATTACAAGGCGGTGATGGAAGCCTATCTTTTTGCTTAAAATAATTCGAATTTTGCAGAACAAGGCTGACAAGGCATCCCGCAGACTGCAAGCACATGGGCTGACAGTTTTGAGACGATACTTGATGCGTACCGCCAGATTGGGGAGCACATGCCGCTCTTGATGCAGTATAAATCTGTGTTCGGCCAGAAACCTGACATGAGCCGCGTCCTTGCACTCATCTACACCGATATACTCGAGTTTCACAAGAAAGCGGTGAAATTGTTCAGAGGAAAGAGTACGTGTCTGTTCTAATAATCATTTACTTCAACACCTGACATTATGCAGCTGATATCTGGAGACATCTGTTTCGTTCCATCTGGAAAGACTTCGGCGCACGGTTTAAAGGAATACTTGAGAACCTCCGACAGCACAAACAACTGATCAATGAGCAAGCCAACGTTCTGCATTATGAGCAATCACAGAGCGATAGCCAGGCAATGCTTGCACACATCCAGAAATACGAGCAGGACAGAGAGGAAAAAAGGGAACGACTCAAGAAGAAAGAAGAGGACGAAAGAGATCGAAAACAGTTGGCGGTCTTAAATTGGTTTTCAGCAGCGCCAAGCACTGCATCAGATCATGACATCTTCCGCGAAACTCGGACTGCCTCTGCTGGGAGTGGGCAATGGATCCTGAAAAATGAAAAGGTTCAGAATTGGAGGGAAATGGACACTCCAGTTTCATCAGTGTTGTGGGTAAATGGAATTCCTGGAGCAGGTATGCTACCACTTCTCACATCTTCTCGGTAATTGACGCTTGTTAACTAAGCAAAGGGAAAACTATCCTTGCTTCTGTTCTTATAGACAGTTGTTTGCAAGATCCTTCGTACACTACAAGTTATTTCTACTGCAACGAAGCCGACCCCGAAAAGAACGATTGTATCTCGATATACCGGGGACTGCTGAGCCAGCTTTTATATAAGTGTCGAGAACTCATTCCTTACTGCTATGAGAAATGCCTCTCGAGTGGGGAGCTCAACTTGACTTCCACGACTCTCGCCGAGCAATTGTTGAAATACTTCTTTGAGATGATGTCAAAGCAGTTCATCATAATAGACGGCTTAGATGAGTGCAATCAAGGACAACGGAAGCTGGTACTGACTTTCTTCAACGCAATGGTAGATCGGTGCGATGAGCGGGAACCGGGGAAGCTGCGTGTGCTTTTCATCAGCCAAGCCTTTCCGGACATTGAGAAGGCGCTCCTGAAAGCCGAAACCTTGAAACTCACCGAGGAAGATAACAAGAAAGATATCAAGTCGTACATCGAAGATTGGTCAAAGAAGATCAGAGGACTATATGGTCTTACTGCGGAACAAGCCAAATTTATTGAAGACTCGACTATGATCAGGTCGCGAGGTAAGAGATCGGAGGTGGTTGAAACCGCCTCACAATTGCTAAAACTTCGCAGGAATGTTCCTCTTCGTGAAATTAGTGATGGAGAACCTGTACGAGCAGGGGACTCGAAGAGATCTTCTGAATGAAATCGAGGTGTACCCATTCCCCGAAGAAATAGGAGAGGCGTAAGTGTGACCCGAATTATGCAGGACAGAAGTCCAAGGATTCCTCTTGCGAAGCTCTCTTAATTCTCAATTCTGAATTACGCATGCCAGCTTATGGAACTCTATGGTGCCTTCACTGAAAAAGAATGTTGGCTAACTTCCATCGTAGGTACGAAAGTATACTGAAACGTCTGGAACGAAACGTGGGGAAGAAACCGTGGGAAATAGTCAGAAAGCTTCTTGGCTGGATGGTTTGTGCCAAACGGCCTCTCAAGTGGCGAGAGATACAGGCTGCGATCTCTATCGATGCGGAGGATCAAACGATCGATCTTGACAATGGAGGGCTGCGAAGGAGCGTTGAGTATTACTGTGGTTCACTGATCCAAGTACTAGACGGAGACCGTGTGGAGCTCGTGCATACTACTGCAAAGATGTATACTTAACTCTCCCATCCACAATTGTTTCCATACTGATACCATCAACAGGCACATCAAAGCAAGTAAACACATTCGTCCCTCCGCCGTCGAGTGTAACCTGGCAGCACTTTGTTTGCGGTATTTGACATTTGGGTGCTTCGAAGAAGATGTCGATCCAGAAGACCTACAATTTCACGCCGAAGAAGGCCTTCTTTCCTTCCAAGACTACGCAGCGGCAAAATGGCATCAGCACGTTCGTGCCATCATCAATACATCGATTCACGATTTCTCCACGGATCCAGAGTCTCAAGCCGCGTTAGAAGAGCTTGAGGCAGGCTTGGAAGAGTTTTATAACCGTTACAAGCAAGAAGTCGTACTTCCTTCAATTCTCGACGACGCCTTGGAAGACTGCTCTCCATTCCAAGCCTACCCATTTCATGCAAAGCTGCTCCAAGTCTGGAACCATGTCTATCAACACGATAGAAAGGGCACGGAAGCACGCAAAGAGATCGGTATCAAAGCTCTCAGCGAAGTCATCATGCGAAATCGGGACGTGATCGAAACGCTCGCCGCTGCCCACGACTTCGACTCCGAAAAAATCACAGCTTACTACGGCGAGAAGCACTTCAAGTGTCCTCGCCCGAACTGCTTCTACTTTCATGAAGGCTTCAAGGCCGCCAAGTCCCGCGAACAGCACATCAACCGCCACGACCGACCCTTTGACTGCCTCTTCCCGGACTGCTCCATTGCCGAGTTCGGATTCTCCTCCAACAAAGACCTCGAGAAGCATAAGAAGATGTTCCATCCCGAGACTACGGACCAGGCGGAAGCGTTCACTGCGCAGACGAAGGTGGTTGCGAAAGCGCGGTGGAAGTGTGATTTGTGTGATAAGAGGTTTACCAGAGGCTTTCATCTGAAGAGTCATTTGAGGAGTCATGCGGGCGAGAGGCCGTTTAAGTGTGGGGAGTGTGGGAGGGCTTTCACAAGGGATAACGATAAGAAGAGGCATGAAAAACTTCATACCAGGCGGTAGATAGTGAAACATCTTGGAAAAGGGTTGTTTATATCTCAGAAGTAGAGGATAAAGTTAACCTGAGTTCTGCTTCATTTCAAGGGTTGGGATAAAAATTTCTATGCTGTCCAGCTCTCAGCAAGCACTTCACTCGTAATTCGGGCCAGGGGACTTCAAAAATTCAAAACAAGCACTTTCTTCACTTTGAAAACGAGCCAAACAAATAGAACAGAAATTTAGCCCACCCGAAGAGGGTAACAAAGGCAGCGCTAATTTTGTAAGGCTTGGAATCTCACTCTTTCTCTGGGCTCAAATTGGTGCACCACTTCATTTCGCATAGAAGGCATCCGCTGGCACCTCCCTTTTGGATAGAAGGTACAGTACACTTCTCGGGAATTAGCATGCGCTAGCTTCCTCCCCGTGAGCGCTAGAATTGGTGCCTCAACGGAGGCGTTTGCTCACCCTGGTATCTTATTCTCTATGGTTCGCGAATACGATCATGATATGCACGGGAGCGTAATTGCACTGTAATTTTAGCCCACACGAAGGGGGGTGCAAAGGCAGCGATCTTTATCCTCAAAGCAGCGTCCATTTCGTGAGACTGGCATTCTCAATCCCTCCGTGTGGGCTAAAATTGCAGTGCAAAGCACCGGTGAGTCGACTGTAACATTCTCAACCCCTCCGTGTGGGCTAAAATTGCAGTGCACAGAACAGCACCATGCAGGAAACCTGCCAGCGCATCCGATTCGGTAACCGAGATCCCTAGTCAATGCACACCCCAAGCGAATGCACACCCCAAGCGAATGCACACCCCAAATTTTCAGCCGACCTCGAGCTTAATTAATTAATTATTAAATAACCACATAATCAATCGGCCTAAAATTAAAAATATAAAGCAATTAAACTAGGCGCATTAAGTTGGCTAATCAGGATTTTTCATTTTCTAAAGCATTATAGTAGAATAATCTCCCTTCCCGATCGGGAGGCCTGTATCACCTCTATAGCTTCAGAATCGTCCTCCTCTACTATTACTGCTTCCTGAGCCCCTAAATTCGATAAAATCAAAGACCCTACCCTCAATATTACTATACGAGAGGGTTTGGCTTTTTTAGTAGTATTTCTAGCTGCAGTAGCTGCCTTTCTAGCTACTGCCCTTTCTAAAACCTCTAATTTATACTTCTCCTTCTTTACTTGATCAGTAATTATTTTTTCCTCTGCCTTCCTAAGCCTCTCTAACTCTTTCTCCTGCTTTTTCAAGGTATTATCTATAGCCTTAGTAATCTTTGCATTCTCCTTTACCTTTTACTTATCTAATTTATCTTATTCTGCCTATATAACTCTTGTATCCTTATATACTACTATAGCTAGTACTTTAGCTATTCCAAAGAACTAGGCCTTTCCTAATAGCTCTCCTATTAAATTAAGCTTTTTCCTATAATATCTCTTTTTCTTTTCAAGCTATAAAGCTTCTTTTAAACTCTCTATATAGTACTTTATAATAGAAGCCTTTATAGTATTTGTCTCGTTTACTTTAGTAAGCTTATAAAAAGTAACCTTAAACGGGTTTTTTATATATATTTTTAAGAATTACTATATATATTTTATAATATAAGAAATTAAAATTATATTAGAAGAAGCTTTAGAAGAAGTTTATAATCTTAGTAAAATAATAGCTAATAAGATAATTAATAATTAGTAGGGCCATATATTTATCTTTCTTTAAATAAATAAAATATTTGATTTAGATATACTTTTATCTTAAATAAGCTTAAAAATAGACTAAAATATTCTTTTTATTAAATAAGTAATACTTTTACTAGTATTTAAAACCTTATTAATCTCGGTAGAATAGTAAATAAAAAATAGTAAAAAATAGCCTATATCTAAAAATTAAAAATAATATATTAAATACGAGAATAAAATAAGAAATAGAATTTTAAACTAATTATATATTTAAATAAACTCTATATTAATATAGCTAGAATACTTATTTATAATTAGAAGCCTCTTTTTATATCCTGCTTTTATATAAATAATAGAATTAAAAACTTAGATAAGATATACTAGGCCTAGGGTATTAGATAATTACTTATTTATACTAGATATAAATTAAATATATTTCTTCTTTTTTAAATTATCTAACTAAATATCCTAAAGATCTCTAGAAATTCTTTTATAAATAAGAGCTAGTAAAATCTTTATATTATTTATATAAATAAAAGTAAGTAAACTAATAAACTCTTATAAATTTTCTTATTATTATATATTTTATTATATATATATATAATTCTAATTAAAAAACTCTTTTTATCCTAATTATATATATTTTCTATTATAATATTATAATCTTTAATTACTTTAATTAACTAAATAAGGAAAAGAAATATTAGCTATTTTATTTATAAAATAAATAAGATATAGGCAAAATACTAAAATTAAATATTACTAAATTAAAAAAGAACTAGATATAGAACTTATATTTCGATTTTATTTATAAATTATTAATATTATATAAATAAAAGCTTTTTAGGTAAAATAAATACTAGTAAATAAAACTAGCTATCTAATTCTTATTTATATTATAGCTAATAATTTTCTTTATAAGATTTCTAATAATCTATAAAATAAGAGAAAGTTTATAGACTATAAGCTTATTAATTTAACTAATTAAAGCCTCTTTTTTTATATTAGTAAAAAGTTTATAATAAAGAAAAGTTACTTCTTATTATAATAGCTAATATAAGAATATAATCTACTAAGAATAAGATATTAGAAATAGATATAAAATAAAGCTAAGCTAGAATTACTTGGGTAAATATAATGTGTGCAGGGTCGCACGTGACTTAAGGGCATATAATAAACCTCGGATATCGCGGGTATTGATTAGGGAATTCGGTAGCCCTTTAATATCCTAACTAACTACTATTTATATTATATGTATTAGGCTTATAAATTACTAATTATATATATGCTATCGGGGCCTCCTATTTAGAGAGGGCTTCCCTGGATCTTATAAGAGGAATAGAGATTAGTTCTATACTGAATTTAATACTATGGTTTTATAATATACTAATTCATTCTATTATCTTATTACCTACTAATAAATACCTCACAAGCTAATCTCTTTACCCTTAAAGGAAGTAGTTTAATAAGTAATTATGTCTCGAAATCTGTGAAATATATAATCCCTCGCCAAAGCTATTCCTATAGAGAAAGTTAACTAGATTAATCCCAATATGGGTAATAGCAAAGGCTCATCTAATACTTTTAACGGGGCCCCTTAGGAGCCTCCGAGAGCTAGTAATAATAACGGAAATAATCCCGGCAATAATTAAGACGCCGAGATTAATGCCCGAGTTACTACCGCCCAAGCTACGGAACAGGGCTTGCGTACTAAAGTCAAAGCGCTCTAACGAAAGCAAGAATTAGTAGATGTAATTAACTAGCATATCTTATAGTTAGAGTAATATAAGGGTACCCTCAGGGATATCTTGCGGTTTACTATATCTCGTGGAAACTCTATTTATGAGTCTACCCCCTCTTCCTTAATAATTCCTACCAGGGAACTTCCTGAAATAGGATTAAAACCCACTCCCTTTTCTAATATAATAAGCTTTGAGAGTAATCTCGATACTATTTATTAGGAGCTACTATATAATATCCTAAAGATATATTTGGACCAAGAGAAGCTTCTTAAGATCCGGATACCTGACTTATATTATGGAAAGTCTCTTAAGAAATAGAGGATATTCGTATTCTTCTAGGAGGCAGTCTTTAGGACCTAGCCTTAGACTTATAATAGATACTCTTCTAGAGTCAACTTTACTATAAGTGCCCTTAGGAACGAACCTCATAATACTTGGGAGGCTATAATAAAGTAAAGCCCACTATTATATAAGGTCTATTAGGAGTAATTCAAGGCCTACTTGGCTAATATACTTTAAGTACCTCAAACCCGTTAATAAGACGCCTTTAAGGAACTCCGAGATCTTTATTAGAAGGATAGCGAGATAATTACCGAGTTATATACTCGGATAATTAGTCTCGAAGTTAACTAGGACCCATGCCCTAAAAAAGACCAGGTCCGGACTCTTAATACTACTTTATCTAACTATAAGACTTATTAGATACTTATATCTATTCTCTCAGGAAATAAGGTAGTATCTATTTCTAAGTAGCTTAAGAAAGCTCAGAAAGCAGAATATACTACTTACCCTAAATTAAGGAAAGTAAAGGCAGGGAAATCTAGTAAGGGTAATTCTGCCCCTAAGGACTCTGACTTAGTGAATTCTGATTTGCAAGGCTATTAAAAAAGGAAGAATAAGTTCCGAAAATCACGTGAGAAATCCTTAGGTAGTACTTTGGCCCCTTTAAGGCCTTAATAAAGTACTAGTTCTACTTTAGGTATGGTTTATTAGACTTGTAAATAGAAAAAATACTTCTTAGGAAGTATAAAGTATTCCAAGTATACTAAATAGGCTTGGCAGAACCCTAATAAGGCCAAAATTATAGAAGAGTTAAGGCGTCTATAGAAGCAGGTTAATACTATTATTATAAAGGAGCGCTCTAGAGAAAATCTTTCTAAGAAATAGGGAAAAGGGAAGACTAAATCTTAAATATTAATAATTTTGGCTATAATAAAAAAGGTATATTATTTTATATAACTATTTAAGCAAGATTAATATAGCCAGAAATAGGTACCTCAGAGATATATAGCGGACTTAGTAATACCGGGTCAGACTATAACTTCCTTAATAATAATTAGGCTTAAAGCCGGGGCTTTATTACCTTAGCTAAGTATAACTAAAAGTTTATAACCTTTTATAGGAATAGATTTAAGGTCTATTAAGCCTATAATCTTGAGGTATTTATTATAGATAATTATAGCAAGATACGTTCTTTTAAGCTCCGGTTCTATAGATATAAGAATATTAGCTCTTATAGCCTCGTCTTTAGTATGGAATTTTATAAAATAACCCTTACGTAATATATAGACTATATTAAGAAATAATAGGTATATATACCTGTATAGCCTAATAATATTAAGATCCTAATACTAAAAGAATTCAGTAAGGAGCTTAACCGGTACCCTGAGCTAGTGCCTCAAGTCTTATTCTTAACTAAAGGCAAATATAACTATCCTAGATAATAGGCTTCGTATATTTGTAATAGTTACTAGGTCTCTGCTTTATTATATGGTTCTAGTAATACTAAATAGGAGTTTTTAATGCGGCAAATTAATACCCTCCGGAAAAGGGCCTTAGAGATACCTATTTATC